AGAATACGTTACTCTCATTGAGTAACGTAACGGAATACGTTACAGAATACATTTTGGGACATGTAATCTGTAATGGAATACATTTTAAAAGTAACCTTCCCAACACTGTCTTTAGGTCATTCTCAGCATTTCTCTTCTTCCAAGCACAGCGGGTCAAGTCGATACTAAAGAGCTCGATTTTGGTTTCATCTGAACGCAGCACCGGCTCCCAAGCCTTCTCTGAATCATTCATAAAACAGGTGTACATTCGTGTCTTCTTGAGCACAAAGACCAGCAATATTTCAGTCCATTACAATGTAGTTAGTTAACACAGGTTTTCTTGGTGACTCTGATTCAAACTGCCTTCAGATCGTTAACAAGTTTTGGGCTGATCCTCCATCTTTCTCATGTTCATCCTCACCCCCATGAAGCAAGATCTTCAGACCAAGGCAAGTGATGGTCATTTAATATTTCTTCCTTGGCCAAATAACTGATAGCTCTTTGGTCTTGCACACTGTAGTGGAGAGGTTGGAATGGAAGAAACTAATTCTGTGTACGGAGATTATGAGTACCTGTAAATGACTGGATGACTGATTTTAATGGGCATACAACCAATGTGTGGCAGCCAGAGTTCTAGCAAATTCTGCAAATCAATTTATAACTTTTTCTGTAATGTTTTTTCCTCTGGATTTTTGGTTTATATTCTGTCTGCATCCATTAAAATGAAAGCACCATAAAAATTAGAGACTATTTATTTATTCACAAGCGAACAAACTTAAAAGTTCAGCAGGGGATTAAATTTCCTCCACTGTAAATACTTGCAACAAAACACATTACAGAAAATACTTCAGTGTTTTAATGATCAAAGAGCTCATGTTTTACTTGCTCTATCCACACAAATTGACTGAAATGCTTTTCTAATGTCAGAATATAAAAAATTAATCTGTCTGGTAATGATACAAAATGATAAAGAGGCACTGCATATGAAAATGTTGCAGGGTGCTAATAATTTGCCAGTGACGTTAAAGCATGGTGTTCTGCAAAGAGTAATTTAGAATATAAATGACTTTCTAAGTGTGCTCGCGGAGCTCACATTGCGAGCACAGACACAGATATTAGAATTATCTCAAAGTGCAAAGAGCTTGCTTGTGGCGCTGCTAACTAAATATCTACACCCAGTAAAAGGATTTCTCTTGACTTTGGGGTGGATCTGGTTTTATTATCCCGTAGTTCTGTTTCTGCTAGTGTAATTGCTTCAGCTCAGTCAGAATAGGTGAGACAACTGTGTGAACTTGCCATGGATTACACTGACTTTAGCTTTGAAAAGTAGGTGAGTCTGGGTTGCTATGATCTCATATCAAACACCTAAATGTTGCTGCTGTAGAGACAAAGCACAGGACTGCAATTGACCCTCTTTCTGTGCTTGATAAGATCATTTCTGTTACCTAACTGGACACTAGGCATGAATCTTTTTATCTAACAATTTTGTAACCTGTAATAGTCTGTAATAGAAGTCTCACATGGAAACTATAAGCCATCAAGTAGAATCTGTCAGTGTTATCTATGAGTTCAACGTGAAATCAGCAAATCAAAGAAGAAAGAAAACAATTTTTAAAATCCTCTCTATGACATATTAATGTTGCATTCTGCTTCATTTTTTTTTTTTAAAGTTTTCCGTGAGTTTTCTTCGTCATGAGTTTAATCGGACAATCATTTACCTCGGTGTACTCTGATCTCAGCATTAAACCCTCAGAGAGGTGATGGGAACAGTGTCATCTTGTTAATATTGCACTGGGAAACATTACATCGTGTGCTGGTATTTGGGTCGATGCTACTTTGATATCGCATAGCTGAACATTACTGTCAAACAAACACACCCACTTACAGCAATGATTAGGCCCCACCCTAAAACCTGCAAAGGATTGCTACCACCCACAAGTGGTTTTATTGTTAAGAAGATAAGATAAGATAAGATAAGACTTTATTGATCCCACAACGGAGAAATTTTTGCGTCACCTCAGCTCAGCTACAGATATCAGAAGGAAATACAAAATGATTGGTGAGTTCATGCACCCACTCATATTCACATTTGCCAGATTTATTTTATGCTCGTACTCACCACTGAACCTCCCATTTATATTTATACATTTATTTCCTCATGTTCTCTTGTAGATTTCCTTGTGTATGACTTGAGAATATCCTTTACTTTAATTCATACTTTGTCTCTTAAAAGTTTCATGTGTGCTTTGGGATTTTTGGACCTTGCCTTTTACCTTTTCCCTTGTGTATTTTGCTTAAGGCATGAGACCCCAGGCCTAGACTCAGTGTTTTCAATCTTTTTATCTGCCTCTGGTGTTATGTATTTGGACGCTTTCATCTCTGAACCATCACACCACCTCTCCGCCAAGTTTCAGGATTTTTAGTTTATTAGTTTTCCGGCATTCTTGCTGACATGCAGCAAGAATACAGCAGGACGTACAGCTCTGCATGGCCACATTTCTCTCACATCTCTTTCTCCTTGCTGGGAAGTATATCCCCAATCATGCACCATCTATAATCATACAACATTTTATCACTACTGCTGATATATAATCTACAAACTATAAATTGCTTTCTGTCAACTTATCAAAGCTTTTACTGGACTTTATGATTATTTAGAGTAAGTTAGGTGCCTGGAAGTCAACCTTTTTAATTTTTATGCTTTTTGCATTAAATCATCATATTTGAACACGAGTCATGAATGCAATTAAAGATTATCTATGTAAATAAAATCCATTCACTTATTTTTTTCCATTTATCCAATTCAGTGTCACAACATCCTCACTGTCATAGGGCAAGAGCTAAGGGACATCCTGGACAAGTCGCAGGACCAACACAGAGAGACAGGCAATTAACCAATTAACATAACATGCTTGGTATGTAAGCCAGAGTGCCAGGTGTAAAACCATGCAGACAAGGGGAGACCATGCAAATTCCACAATCGCCCAGTGGATTTGACCCGAGGAGCTTTTTGCAGTGAGGAGATGGAAAACAAAAACACTGGCACTGCAGCATCTTCTATCCCAGGGTAAAGCACGGTGGAGGGAGCATAATAGTGTCTGTTTTCCTACATCGAGCTGGGATAGGTTGTAATCATTGATAGAGCAAGAAATTCTGAATTCTTTGAAGATGAATGTGGTGCATAAAGAAAAACTGACCTTAAGCACACTGGCTGTTCTACCACAGATAGAATAAGAAGAATGAGGCTCAATGAATCAGTGTTTTATTCTTTTGGAAAATTAAATTCAAATTAGACGATTGGGCAAAAATTCCCATTAGCTGATGTCCAGGAGCAAAAAGCAGGGGTCACACCAGACCTTGAAAGCAAAAGTGCATAATTTTTAACTCACAGAAACTGGATAATATATGAACAAATGCAATAGTCAGTGTCATTTATTTACCTTGTTTTCCTAACTTGCTTTTAGCGCTAGGAAGTCCACATGGTTAAAAAATAATTAACACGGGTGCCCGGAGTTGAACTTAGTCCTGGGATGACCATAACAGTACTAGCTATAAATGTGATACTCTGAAAGGCAGACACTGCCAGTAAGACACTTTTACAACGTCCTGTCCACCTTTGGCTCCTTAACAAGTAACAGCTGCTTGTTAGTACATTGTTGTACATACAGTTCGGTTCATCTCTTGTTAGAAAATCTACTTCATTTTGAAATTTCAATGGCTTCTGGGATGGACAGTAGTGGACTCGACAATCTTGCGTTTGATGTGAGTACAATAACGTGTTTTTGTAAAAGATAGCATTGTTTGCTTCTTTGAGCATTCTTTCTAAATAAGGTCAGCATCAATGGGCACCTGGAAACGTTCAGATTGCCTTTAACTGCAATAAGATCTGCGCTTAACTCTGTTCTAAGTGATCCAGTGGGAGTAAAGGGTGAGAAAGTTTTGCAACCTACTAGTGCTTGCTGCAGTTTAGAGCACACACAATACACAATATGGTCTTTTCTTTTAAACATACGAGTCCAATAAAGGAATAAAATACTTTATAATGTCTGTGCATTCCATTGCATCTACTCTCTGCCTGAACGTGCACATAAAACCTCAAATTATTCAATGATTCAGTGTTAAATAATGAATATTTGCAAGTCATAAAAAGCAGCTGAAGGCAGGTCATTATACTAGTACAGTGCTTTAAAAAATTCATTGGACCACCTGTCATAAAAACGAGAATTCACACATTTTAGCATCTGTCAAAAAACTTTGTTTGAAAACTAAAATAATTAAATTTTTTCGTATATTTAGCATCCTAGTTAAAAATGATTATGTACTGTTTTATTGGTTGTTGTTTTGTTTTGTTTTTTATAAAAGTGTAAATTTCAAAATTCATGGACAACTATAATTGTATTTTACAATCAAAACTATTATTTCAGTTATAGAGCTTGCACATGCTGGTGGATTAACCGTTACAGAAACAACAATTATAATAATAAATTTCTTAAAGCACTGTGTGTCCTCAGTAAAATCTTTGTTCCCTGTTTTTATATAAACTGGAAGTGAACTAGTCCTGAGATAATGATTTTTCATCTCCTTTTATTTTTGGCATACTGATTTTTTTTGTATAGATTTTTTAATTGATTTTTTTTTCTATGATATTACAGATGGATGAGCAAGTTAATGATCACCTCAAAGGAAAGGCGTGTAAAACGTCTGAAACAGATGGAGACAGAAATAAACCGGCGTATTGTGTGACTGATGTTCCACCTTGGTACCTGTGCATTTTCTTGGCCATTCAGGTGTGTTTAATCTTTGATGTGATTAGTGTATTGTTGTCTTTTTCATCCATTTATCAGTCATTTATAATCAGATCCAAAAGTTTTTGAACAATGACAAAGCCCCCTATTTTCAGAGGGTCAAAAGTAACTGGATACCCACTTAGCAAGCAGTTTAAGGGCTGAATTTAGATTTGGATTTCCCTCTCAAATGAGATCCAAAGACATGTTTCTGCAAACAAAAAAATCTATAATTGGGCTGAAAATTCAAAATAAACCAGAGAAAGCAAAAACAGTAGGAGTGGTCATAATAATCTTAAAAGGAATCAATGCACAGGTCAACTCAGCAACATCAAAATTCCTGAAAGACCACAGGTGACAACTAAAGTGCACGATACCAGACTTTTTTCCATGGCTAAGAAAAAGAACTTTAAGAACACTCTCAAGGAGGTAGGTTTACCTCTGTGAGACTTCTTCATGGATGTAAATGCAAAAAGGTGCAGACAGATTAGACTTAAACATCTAACAGAGACTGAACAGTTCTGGAAAACATATGAAGAACGAGAGGAACAGCTCATATCACATCATCTGTGAAGTATGGTGGAACTGATGTTAAGGCACGTGCATGAGTGGCTGCTAATGGTGTTTATTGATGATGTGACTGCTCATAGAAACAGGAGGATGCATTGTAAAGTGTACAGGGCTGTACTCTCTGCTCAGATTCAACCAAATACTGCCAAACTGATTGGCGAGTATTTCACAGACTAAACAAATAATGACATAAAAGGTAAAGAAATTCGATATTTTTCTGTGGCAAAGTGTCTCAGGGGAGGACATGTTTGCTTTTGATGATGTCCATGGGTTCTAGACTTCAGGCAGTCAGTAACTGCAAGTGATTTTCAAGTATTAAACACAATCCTTGTATTTCTTATTACATTAGGTTGTCCACTTACTTTTGACAGTGTAGTGGTGGACAGAGATCCAACTGTAAACATCACAACAGCAGTTAAGGAGTCTAAAAGCAACCC